ATAGGTAACTGCTGTGGTAATTATCGGCAGGGCATCAACTCTGTGCATTCTTTCTGGTGCCAAAAAACTCTTCCAAACGACGATAAAGACAGACGATTCGCGGTGCGCATTTGAGGGAATGAAAAGTTGTACGTCTTGTCAATTCGCCAACGTGTTCATTTACAAACACAACACGTCGTAGACAAAGAGAGTAAATCATTCAGAAAGTGGATAAACGAGAAGAGAGGGATCGAAATGTAGGCACAGGGGGAAGGGCAACGGAGAGATGAGCTACAAATGAGAGCGATGGCGGTGGCAGGTTGGCACAGTGCCATCCAGTCAGGACTTGAGCGGGGGCGGGCATGGGCACGGGCGAAGGGGTGAGGACAATAAGAATAGAAGAGGAAGAGAAAGAGACCTCCATACTGCTGCCATGGTGCCACGTTGGCACAGTGGCGCAAAACGCAACAGCAGAGCGGGCAGAGAAAAGGAAGATAGAGAAGACATTCAAGGACAGCAGAGCGTAGAAATTACCTAAGATGCCAGAAGACACATGACGACTCAGACGAAGCTGGAGGAAGGGAAGCATCGGAGGAAAGGAGCGGAGGATCGTGTGAAACTGTGACCTGTAACTTGGTGACGACTGTCGATGTTGATGGACTAGCCCACATTCCATTAATTTTTCAAATTTTCATTCGCTCAATGCCAGCCACGGCGTGCCAGCCGGCGGGCACTATGCCAGCCTGCGGTCGTGGCACTGCCGGAGCGATCAAAGCGTACGCCGGAGAACTGTCTTAGTCAAAGACAAGGGTGACTCACCTCTGAGGATTTGCAGCTAATCGCCGTCTGTTTGCTTGGACAAAGCCAAGAAGACATGACCGGGCAACAGTTGCCAGCGATTCGGGGATGGCACCTTTTTAAGGGCGGCAAGGGCACAAGGAGAAAGAATGGCGCGCTGCCAAGCCAACAACCCCGCACACATTGGCGAACTCAAACCTCCATACGGTGAGCAGGACATTTCGGATGCCTTAAATGTTTTGGCAACGACATCCCCTCAAGGGACAAGCCAGAAACATAGATGGCATCATGCCAAACGCAAACACAGAGGAATTCGCGTGCGACACCAGAAGCTGTAAAAAAAAAAAGTAAATGGATACAATAAAGCAGCAGAAGGGTCGAATTGAAGCTAAACTCAACAATGGTAGGAGTTTTCGACCAAAAAAATTTCCTCGATGCCAATTGCTGCACTGAAAGGAAGCTGGTGGCCATTACAAAGACCTACAAGGGATCATTCCAATTTAAAGAGAAAGAGTGTGTGGAAGACGAGAAATAACGAGCAAAACGAATAAAGGATATTGAAGGAGAAGAAAGTGTGAATTTTGTGCCTAATGAAGAATAGCAGGAGTGGGTGGTCAAGGATGATGAAGAGCCTCTTTCCTGCACATGCACACCTGGGCCATTCTTAAAGGGATATCCCCTCAGACTGCTGAGTGTGTTAAAGGGAGGGATGTGTTGGCATCATCTCCAGAGTGTCAAGCTGTGTTTCTGTATTGCCAGTTAGGGAGGGTGCTGCAGTCGTCAGGGGCGGGCAACTGTCTGGGCATCTCATCTGCAGCTAATTAAGAGCCACACACTAATTCTAACAACCGATCATAATTAGAGATTTAATCGCTCGTCAACGCTTTACTCCCCCCTTAAATTGTGCCTCCTATTTGGACACGTGCGGATAAGCTAAGGAACGCCGGATCTCCCCTCCCCTTCTCCTCGTCCTTCTTCCCTTCATCCTTGGCTCCAGACTCCAGTGGGATCTTAATTAAGCCTGGGCTTCATTATGCAAATGGAGTACAATAAATGACAGCGGAGGTGGAGTTGGATACAGACTGAAACGGAACGGTGGGAGGGGAGCACTGGAGGTTGAAAAGGAGGAAGGTTACCAAAATCGTCCGTATAATGTTACTGCATTACAATATTTGCACGCCGTTGTGACGTGTGCGTCTTCAGTACACCACAAAGACATGCGGTTTGAGGATCAACAGATTTTGCTCAGATGCTCCACCTCTGCTCCCATTTGAAAAACTTCTCCGAAATGACACTGGATTCGCGGAATCTTATCTCTCACGAAGCAAATTCACAGAGGAACGGTGACAATGAAACCCTTATTATCACCAGTTGGCCGTTGTCGTGGATACGAAGACCGATGGTTGAGATAGGGAGAGAGAAAGGACGCAGACAGAAGCACTGACAGTCGCAGCAGCATGGCAGCTAATGTCATCTCAGTTTAATCATCGCATGGGATCATGGGGTTCATGAAAATTCATTTGCATATCATTAAATGGAGGGAGGTTATTTGGTGCGGGCCGCCGAAATGGGATTGGATGAAGCAAGAAAAAAAAGGCAAATGGTGGGGTTCGTTATTAAACAGCAATGTTTTATAGTCCGCAAACCAATTCATTTAATTTGGGCGTAATTAAAATGTGCCAGACTCCATCAATCATTCCAACAGGGATATTATCGGTCTGAAAAAAGAATAATCATTGAATATGCGGTTGGACATTTTCCAATAACAGTTTAACTGCTTTAGTCTACTGTGAGCTTGACCCATCCACACGTTTCTCTAATTTATCTGAAGGAGTGTGTCAAAACATTGTTTGTGACTTATCTGTATTTTGTCAAGACATGTCTATCTATCTGACAGGTGGGGATGCCGCCTCATGTTAGTCAATAAGAGAATAGCTAACAGTGTCTTTTTGACCTCAGTAGTAAGCTGTCAGTGGTGTGTATGCACGTGCATGCATATGTGCATTTTATCATTTGCATAAGTGATGTAATTAGACTGCCCTTTCACATGCAGATCAGTTTGACAATATGGCAATCACTTCAACACACACACACCGCCATACACACACGCGTACACACGCGACAGCACGCGCTTACTGGCGTGACCATCCCCAAATCATGGGGAGTCTGTTGTCAGTGAGCAGAGAGTGTAAAGATTAACATAATCCAGCTAATAAGTGTGAGTAATATTCACACAGTGACGCGTGGCGTAGACACCGTCCTGCTGATGCGTATTTGTATCTCATTATAGATGTAAAGCACTGAAAGGGAGGGGGGGGGGGGATTGCACAGTGGAAGGGGGAGGTGTCATAAAATAAAATAAAAGAGTGTCTGAATAGGGAGACACCCAAGAATGACAATAAACACAAGCATTTTCATGAAACTATTCAATCCACCGTTTCTACAGGTTTAGAGAGTGCAGCTATAATCAATAAAATATTCCAAAGGGTACCTCATATCTAGGATGCTGGTGATAGGACAAATAGTAGGAGGTCTTTCTAATGTTTCCTGCAAAATCAGAAAGACAATGTCACTCTTTTTCCTGGTGGTTTCCAATTCTAGGAGTGTCAATTTTTGTAGCAAAGAATTATAAATAGAGTATATTTGCGCTTGCAGGCTAGCTCTGCTACATGATTGATTAAGATGGTGTGACGACCATTAAAAGGTCATTTAAAAGATGGATAGAGACCACATTTCCAAATAAATACCACTTTATACCTGATGAAGTGCTGAACAAACTCTCCTTCAAAGACATTTACTGATTACTCTGCCTATGTGTGTGCGTGTGTGTGTGAAGGTGTGTGATTGTAAATCAGCTGTAGAAGATACCAAAGCAATCTTCAGGACACAGTTGGGCAGTGGGATTTTCTTTAAAACTAAAATTAGATCTCACATTTTTTAGATTAGTAGAAGCGGAATAGTGTTCATTTGGACGTGGACGTAATCTATCTGCATACAAAACGTCAGAAAGAGGCCAACCAAACGCACATCTGAAATGCATCTGATAACAAAGCATTGCGTAGACTGAACCCTTATCCAAAGAACCAGAGCTGTGTCTAAATGTGTGAATGTATTTCAGCTCTGTCTCTTTAACTCGGGGCTCAACCACAGCGGCGTGCTTTGGGATTCATGCATAAACATGAGCTGGCCTTTCAGCTCTCTCCTCACATAACCAATCTAAATCTAAATGAGCCCCCACTACTGATACACCAGCAGGCAATGACATTACACCCCCCCCCTCCCCCCCCACCCTGCCCCAGCCCAATCCCCTACTCTACTCTCCTACCCCCAGCAACACATATACACCAGCAGGCAATAATTTCTCACTATCCCTCAAAGCCCCCCCACCCCTCTGCACACGCACTCGTACCCCTTTTTGCCGCAACCCCACCAGCTGCACACTACTCATTTGATTAAGAGGGGGAGGACAGCGAGAGAAGGAGAAATGGTTGGGGATCACTTTATTAGGATGACTCTCTGAGAAGGCTGTCAGCTACGAAGCTAGCTCGAGGCCTCTTCGGTGTTTACTTTGCCATTGTCCTCCCCGTGTATCAGTCTGTCTGTTCCCTGCCACCCTGATCAGAACGGCTTCCTCTGCGGTCGCATTTATGTATAATCGTTAAATGACTGGCTTGCTGCTTGAGAACAAGAAGCAGATTGTGAATGGTAGTTTTCATTCTGAGGGAAGTTGTCTGATCATCCGCCGGAAAGTTTTACACCAAAGAAAACAAAATAATAAAATGATCTCTACCAACCTACGTTGTGGTCTTTCAGATGTTGCACATGAGAATCTGTAAATCTCTAAATGTGCAGTAGTGTGCAATTTTACTCCCCTCTCTCCCAGACTCGTAAAACACATTATCATCAGCAGCAGGAGCAGCAATGTAATTCATCTGAGGTCGTTAATATTCATCATATCATTTAGTTACAAAGGAAACTCATCTGGCTCAATGTCACAGATATAATTAATGAAGTGACCCCAGAGGTCAAGGCTTCATTCACCAAACGCCTTCCACACACTGCTATGCTGCACACATACACGCGGTCGCACATCAAAAGCTTCCAGCCACACACACACACACACACACACAACCTGGAATATGAAACACAGAGAACAGAGACCCTTGCATACCACAACATTCCCAAAATGGCTTATCTTGGTTAGGACAGGGATGAGACCAGAGCATGCACCAAAGCAGACTTTATTTAGCTCAGTGGAGTATGGGAAGGGAAAGGAAGAGAAACACACACAAGTAGGGAAGAACTTGGGCAGGGGGAGAGTATAGGGACGCACTAAACCACTGGAGCAGGACATAAGGACAGGTGCACATCACAGGTATCTTTTTGGTCATCACTATGGCAACAACATATCCAGAAAAAATTAAAAGAATAGTTTTACCTACAGATAGGATAACGGAGTCTCATCACCATAGAGGACCCCAATATGTACATCTTACAGTCAATAAGATTAAGAGAGTATGACAAATGAAATTTTAAATAATCAGCATACAAAAAAACTGCCTTTGTGGTATTTGGAATGCACATTTCTGTACAGAAGAAAGCTCATTGGTATTGTCGTAAACATTGGTTAGTTTAAGAACAAATCATGACAGAGTAAATCAGTCCACATCCTTTGGAAAGTCGGTAGTGATGTCAGTCTGAGACAAGTTCAGCAAAAGCTGTTTGCAATGGGCAAATGGCTAGAAACTAGAGACATTGCAACACAGAAAGGCTGACACTATCAGTAGAACATTTGGGGCTGAACTCCTTCAAATAGCAAATGCAGTACCAAGGATTGAGAAATGAATGCCCCAAGCAGGTTTCTCTAAAAATGATGCTTGAAAAAATATTTCTGGTATTCTGAAAGCCATTTTTATCTTCTGAGTCGGGGTAATTATTGGGATACTGAAAAAAAAACCCTGATGGAATTGAGCCCCACATATCCATTTGTTTACAACGGAATAACATAGGAGCAGTTTATCAACAGCATCACAGGTATCATTACAGTTTGTAGTCATTAAAGCCTAGTGGTAAAGCGATCAGAGCATGCATCTTTCTACAGTATCATTAGAAACTACAGTACATTAGCAGCAAACTGGACATCCTTAAGGGCTGAAGTTCAACACTATGGTAAAAAAAGAAAGAAAAATAAGCTGCAACATTTCTCAAGAGAAGTAAAACTCTTTAACCGCTATATTACAGACTGCCATGGCTCTAGTTTGGGGTTTTGGTTACAGTTTCCAGTGTGCTTATGAGAGGCAGAAAACAGTAGCTTAGATATAGGGACTCCTTCCTTCTTTAAAAACAGCAATACATCGTCAAGTAAACAGTAGCGCTTGTTTTTGTAGGTCATATGGTTAAAGTATTATCACGTCTTTGGATTTTTGTCTTAAAGCATTAATTATTGTTATATTATCATTATTACAGTTAGAATAAAGACGGGTTGCAAATGAACAGGAGGAAAAGTTGATAAGGTAGGAGGAGGAGGTAAAATAAATTAGGTGTACAAAAATAACATCAATAACATCCAAAGTTTTTCTCAGTTTTGCGCAGTAGCTCCCTAATCGGTAAGTGGACAAGGGAGCTATGTCTCAATCATCCAATGAAGTCTCGAGTCAACCATACAAAAGCTAAATACTGTACATTTACCCCTTACACTATTAAACACTTTAGTTTCAATAAGGTTTTGGTAACAATCTATTACTTAGTGGTGAAAGCTCAGATCTTTGAAATACAGATGTTTTTGTAAATATCTTTTAATACTTAGTCTTAGGTTAAATGCCTTATCCGTTTCAAAAACAGAAAAGTACAGTATCAAGACCACAATTTCAGCAGAGCCATGTTGAGCCGTTGACCTGAGCATAGAAAGCTTTACATCAATCAAATAACATTGGTATGCCATTGGTATATTCAACTGGAACGGAAAGGCAGTAGGTCACCTTGCCTGAACATATCAAAGTTGTCATAATCATTTACTAATCATGACACTATTATATCGAAGCAAGACAGTTTATCTCAGTCCATAAGATTTATATTAAGAAACTATTTCTAAACACACACACACACACACAATGTAAATTTCAGTTTGGTTAAAGTTTTCATATACAGTATAATGGTTGAGTGCTATAAAAAATAGTTTGCCCCGTTGAGGACAAACTGGCCTTTTCGTTCTGTGCTATTTGGGCTGTTATCCAGTAAAGGAACATAGAAGGTGTACATATACAACAGAAGACTCATCATTGGCTTGTGGGGGGGTGAGGCTGCATTCTGGCACCGTGTCAGTCTATTGGTACCCGGTTTCATTTTGCCAGCTGCAGATTTCACCCAATCACCGTACAGACGTCAGCTCTGTGTTGAAACTAAATTCACAGACATGAAACATTTTGGTTAGGAGCTTTGGAATCTGAGTCAGTCTTTACAAAAGCTCTATGCGAACACCTCCATCTCTTTCAAGGATATTTTTCCATGTTCTTTTTTTTTTCCACCCAACTCTTCTCTCACTGTGAACTGCTTGGTTTTTCTTCAAGTTTATCTTTTGGAGCTCTCTATGTACATTAAAATCTCTTTGACAATTTCTTTTCCAGCCTCTTTCAGAGTGGCACTACATGCTACACAGCTAGTCATCTAGCTCTGGTGGAGGGCCCACTGTGAGTCTGTCATGCAGACTGAGAGGTAGACTGCAGGTCTAGCTGGGCAGTGAGGTCACATACTTGGAGAATGCTCTTTGGCCTCTGTGGCATCTGGTTGGTTATTTAAATCAAGGTGGTGTTTGGTTGTAGTAAGGTGTCTCGACCTAATAGGGAGAGGAGCTCTTTTCGACATTAAATGACAGACCGGAAAAGAGTTTAACGATATGAAAAGAGGAAAGCTGTATCGAGAGGACTTGGTTTGGGCTCTCTCAGTTAAGAGAGTTTCTTTTTGGGCCACTGTGGCTCGGCATCTTTGGGGTGTTCAGGTTTCAGATTTGGCAGCAATGTGGACAGGGTATATGTTTAGAGATCAACAGAAGGTGCAGGGGGTGGTGTGGGGGAAGGGGGGTCAGGGGGAATGTTGTAGAAAAAAAGCTAAACGGACGTAGTCTGCCTCTCTAAGCTCTGTCTCTCTCCCCTGCCCCTGCTGACAGCTCGGCCTGCTCCCTCTCTGCAGAGTCAGAGCTCAGGCTCCTGGCCCTCTTCTCCTTGGCTCTGGCATTCTGGAACCACACCTGTGGGGGGAAAAACTAGATCTTAAAATACCTAATTGTTCTGAAACAATAATTTTTTGTCAAAATAAATGCACATTCAACCTGTATTTTATAATTTATGAATATTTACCTGCACAACTCGGTGAGGCAGTCCCAGCTCCTGGCCCAGTGTCTCACAATCATGTCGGTTGGGGGTGCGGTGGCTCCTGTAGAAATCTCTGAGCTGGAGTACCTGGTAGTGGCTCATCTGTGTCCGTTGCCGCTGCTGCTGATGTTGGTGCTGTTGCAGACTCAGCGTATCACCCCAATCTGAGCTCGGACCCCTGGATCCCTCTGGACTGGGAGAACCTTGGTCAACCACACTTGAACCCTCCTCACATGGGTACTCCTCATCATCTTCCTCATAGTCATCATCCTCTTCCGGGTTGTTCAGATCGGTGGTTAAAGAGGTAACAGGTGGCTTCATACTTAACTCTTTGTTAAGGATGACATAGCCATTGTTTGGGATGGGGTTAGAGGAGATAGACGGGCCTGGTCTGTCCATGACCGAGGACATAGCCATCCCTATTGGCCCGTTGGATCCATTACTCATCGATAAGTTGTAGCCTGCTCTTTCAGCCTCTGCCCAGTGGCGTGACCTCATATGGGCATCAAGAGCACTCTTTACCTTGAAGAGAGCCCTACAGAATGGGCAGCGCAAGTGGTTTAAACCCAAACTGAAACTGGATCCTGGACCCATTGACCGGAACTGTCCTTTTCGCTCTCTGGCTCGTGTATTCTGAAACCAGACCTGTGAAGAAAGGACCAGCATGATTAAACATTTTAGTTACAGAACATCATTACATAATTTTCTGTACCTTTCTTTCCACCCATCTCTCCAAAAACATTCACACATAATTAATTACAACAAACATCCATAAAATACCTGAACCACACGTCTCGTCAGGCCGACATCGCGTGCAATGCCTTCCAGCACTCCTCTTGTGGGGTTGGAGTCCATACTGTAGCGCTGATACAACACTTCAAGCTGTTCTGGGGTGATGGTGGTTCTCTGACGCTTATCCCTTCGGTGCTCTTCCTCAATCTCTCCAACGCCCCTTTGGCCTTCAAAATTGGTTTCCCACATGAGCTTTGAGCTCTGCTTCATGGGTGTCAGGGAACTTTGAGAGAGGTTAGTGAGGTTGTTACTCGAGTGATCAGAGAGCGTGTTATTCATTTGTATGCTGTTTAAGTGTGAAATCATGGAATGTGTGGGATTAGAGTGCATTTGGGACATCATTTGGCTAGCCATCAGGGTGTTGTTGGGATGGAGCATCATGTAAGGCATGGTTCGGTCTGTGAAGCCAGAGTGTAGAAATTGGACCTGGGACTGAGCTGCCAGGAGGTGCTTGTTCTGATGTTCTTGCCAAAGTTGGAATGAGGGTAATGACACTGGGCAGAGACTGCACTGAAACTGAGCCTGTGTTTGGGGTTGTTTTTTTTGTTGGGTTTCCGTGGACAGACAAGAGGTGGCATCAGGCAGCCGAATGTAACTTGTGTCAGACTCTGAAGCAGCAGGGACGCTCGGTGATGTATCAACAGGCTTTTCAACAGCTGGATCAGAAGGAGGGTTGCATCTATGGCCTTGGCTAGAATGAGCTGTGGATGCAATGGCCGGTACATCTTTTTGTGAAGACGAGGAGGAGGAGTGAGGGCGGGGTCTTTCTGGAGTAATTTCTGGCTGAAGGTTGGGCTCAGGTGGTGGAGTGGACACGGTTTTCTTGGCTTTAGCAACTTCCTTACATTGGATGTCTACATCTGAAATTTCATTTGGAGTTTGAACCAGATCAAGGCTCTTGTTAGCCCGAGAAGAGGTTGTTTTGTCTTCTTGTTTTCTAGTAACAGGTGGTGGTTCACCATTAACTGTTGTATGCTCACTTTCCATGCAGGAGGAGCAAGGATCAACAGGTGAGTCAGGGTTGGTGTAATACTCATAAGTCAGATCCATGGAGTTTTCATTTGGAGATTCACCTTTTGCTTCATCACCACAGCTATTATCCTCATCATCATTCTTGTAGAGGCCAGTTCTCTGTCTGTGTATGTTGTCATGTTGGTTCTTACCCTCTGATCCATCATCAGTCCCCCGTTCTTGATTTTTACGGGCTCTCTGTCTTGCATTTTGGAACCACACAACAATGACTCTATTAGGGAGGGACAACAAAGCAGACATTCGATCATATTCTTCCTCTCTGGGATAGGGAGTCGCCTTAAACACCTTCTGCAGGGTCTCCAGCTGTTGTTCCGTAAAGCGGGTTCGGGAGGAGCGTCGGCCCCTATTGGGCTCTCCTCTTGGGAGGTCTGTTGTGTGGGCTTGTGGGGAGGTATGGGCTGGAAGGGCTGGGGACAGCAAACATGGGGAAAGTGACAGAGGCTGGGGTTGTGCTACTTTTCTGGGCTCCTCTAGGGCTATAGTTGGGGGGTTATTAAAATTGTAAGGGGAATCCTTGTCTCGCTGGCGCTCTTTGAATAAGGTGTTGCGAAACCAGTGTTTGATAACTTTATGAGGCAACCCAGACAGACCAGACATCTTGTTCATGTCTCCATCACTGGGGAGACTGTTAATATCAAAGTGTTTTCTCAGGACAGTCAGCTGCTCCTCAGAGATGCGGGTTCGGGTTCTCTTACCCTGATGTTCATGTATTGTTGGGCTGACTTGGGGTTGCTGTCCTGTTTGGATTGGGCTGTGTTGGGATGGTTGACCTATCAGCGTAGAATTGATCTGGGATGGCTGACCTTGCAAAGCTGGGCTGGGCTGGGACTGCTGGACAAGCAGAGAAGGACTGAGTTGTGGCTGTTGCCCTAGAAGTGCCGTGTTGAGTTGAGATTGGTAGAGTTTTGCCAACTGAGGGTTCATACTTGAGTCTAACCAAGTTTGGGGCTGGAGACCCACAGACTGCATCACAACCGGAGAAAGGAGGGGTAGGTCCATGGGAAAAGGAATGTGGGATAGGGGAAGGTTAGGTAAAGGCCGTTGGGCAATGGGAAGCTGAGACAAGCCTGGAGGAAGCATAAGTATTTTCTGTAAGGTAAGAGGTGTGTCCTTAGCTGGGGTTGTTGTTTGAGAAGTAGCTGTTGCAGCCGTGCTTGTGGTGGGTGACTCTTGTTGCGGATATTCTTGAGATTGAGGAATTAATGGAGGAGAAGAAGAAGGTGTGGGAGTAGTTGTTGATAAATCTGTAGCAAGAGCACATGCGTTTGTAATGGGATCTGAAAACGACGGTGCAGGAGAGGGCTCAAGACTTTTAACTTGAGACATAACCGTTTCCATTGCTGGTTCTGATTTTAAGGATGGGACAGGAGCAGAGGCAGAGGCATTTGGATTATCTACAGATTTAGGTTGTGTGAGTGGGTACATCTGGTCATACTGCAGCCTGTACTCCCTGGAAAATCTCTCCAGTGCAGGAGTAGGAAACAGTTTCCTATGAATGTACTCCCGGTGACTTTTCAGAATCAAGGCATCTGAAAAAACCTTGCCACAGTCTCTACACTTTTCTCCCTTTCCACAACAACCTCTCTCTTTCTTTACAGATTCCTCTTCTTGATTTGTTTTGTCATGTGGCAAACTTTGGATCTCTTTGTTGCCTTGTAATTCTTTGTCATCGTTGATACAGCCTTCTGGCTTTACATCCTGTAGTCCACTTAACTCAACTTTTTCTTCTTTTGAGTAACCCTCCATCTTGTCATTATCAGAGCCCCATGGTTTATCTGGTATCATATGGATTGATATTTGCTGCTGGTGTCTATGTCTACTTTGTATGTATTGCAGTGCCAACTCATAGCCATAACTCTGGAGCAGGGCCCGAACAGTCTCGCCATTCACAGCTGCATAGGGAACTCTGGGAGGAGAACATTGCAATCCATGGCGAGTAAATGAAGAGGAATCCGTTTCTGCTTTCTGACACTTATTTTTAAAACTAGGAACAGGCCTTTCTTCTTTTCCTTCGTCTTGATTAGAATTGCTGTGTCCTTGTTCAAACTTGTTGTTGGCGGATCCACTGCCGCCAGCTTCAACATTGGCTTCACACGGCACACGATCCTTTAATTGGCTAACAGTTGAATTTGAATGTTGTCTCTGGGTTTGGTTCTCATCTATTTGAGTTTGGCACTCCTTTTTAACTTCCACCGTAACTGGTTCTTTGGGGATGGAGTTGGCACATACTAACTGACTAAGTTCTGGGTTCTTAACACTTAATTCTGGGTTAAAATTCATGTCCCCTGACAAATAAAAGGGCAAAAGAAGTTGCTGTTGCAGAGAGAGCAAGTTGTCTGGTGCCAGGGAGAAGTGTTGTTTAAGGAGATTTTCTGTCCCTAAGGGAAGGTGCTGCATCAATTGGGACTGGAGCAGAGCTGTGTGTTGCTGTAGCTGAGCGTGGGCCTGTGCCTGAGCCTGGGCTAACTGCTGCTGTTGTATTAACATTAGCTGATTTCTTGACGCTATAAGTTCTGCAACTCTACTTTTAGCCTGCTGGCTTTCAGTTGGGATAGAGAGGGTTCGCTGGGCGTCAGTTTCTACACCAGGGCCTAATAGTACAGAGGTTGAACAGGTTACATCTGGCCTCTTGGAGAATGGCAAACCCTTTGATGTTTCTTCTTTGTTGGGAGCCGAAGTAAGAGTAGTGGGGACTGAAGCCCCCACACTTGATGCTGGGGTCTGTGGTGCCGAGTTCTGGGCAGCACGAGCTCTAGTCTGATGAAGAACGGAGCGAAGATGTATGTCCAGCGTGGAGCTCTGGCTATAGCCCACTCCACACAATCGGCATCGGTAGGGCCTAGGATCTGGGCCACGGGGAGCCTCGAGGACAGCAACACCTGTGCCAGAGTCCTGTAACGCCCTTCTGGCCCGGTGGAGATGGGACACAGAGTTATAGTGGACCAGAAGAATGGTTTTCTGGGTAAAGGATTCAGAGCATATTGTGCATTTGTAGGGCCTGGCTGGATCCAGATAGCGGTCCATTGTGGGATTGGAGTCCTTTTTGACCAGGAAGCCTGAAGTAGGTTCTGTTACGATCTCCACATTTGACCCTTTGTCTGGCTCAGTCGAAACTTCATCCTCTCCATCGATTTCCCCGTTTACGTCATTCTCTTTCAACTGTACTTCCTCTTTTGTTCCTCCTTTCCCTCCATGCCTAGGGCTTCTTCCTCCATCTCTTCATACTCACCCTCTACTGCTTCTTGACCCGCTTGAGGTGATAAACTAAAATCTTTTTGAACTGAACTCTTATTTTGCTCCATGTATTGAGCGGTGTGAGGCGGTGAGAGTGTATCCTGTCCCTGTGTGTTGTCCAGCTGTGAGTGTGTGTTCTGCATGTGTCTCTGCAAGGCCTCTTGACTGCGGCACCGGCAAGCGCAGAGCGGACACTCTGTTGCCGCCCTCATGGCATGGTACTGCCAGTGCAGCTGGAGCTTTTCTTGAGTGGGGAACGCCAAGCTGCAACTGCTGCAACGGAACCGGTAACCATGGCGATCAGAAAGGGGAGGGGGGTCGCCAGTTGGCGAGGAAGGAGGGGTCTGAATTGGGGACTGAGGAGCCAGTCTGCCATTGTAAGGGTGAGTGGTGTTGTCTTCTAGGGGTGGGGTGAGTAGAGCTGTGACATCTTTGGGTGCGGCTACATCTCCCTCAGTGCTCTCAACTGAAATGCCTTCAAAGTGCAAAAAAGAAAATAATAAATAGTGCATTTAAAATAAAATTTGTGAATTTTAAATACAATTTTGAGCCAAAAGGTGTGTGTTTTAAACAAATTACAGTAACATGGTGACTCTTAATCTCTAAAATAGGCTATTTTTTAGAGTGCATTTTAAACCAACCTTGGTTGTTCTGTAAATCAACACAGACACTAGAATCTTCTGTCTGTGGTTTTGCCTGCAGCTTAGGCTGCGGTTGTTCCTTGGATAGTGTGACCTGCAAGGGGAAAAAAAGGGACGGTGTGTAAATTTGTGTTGTGTATTGGGGTAGGGATATTGCCAGTAATAATCAGTGCTGTTTTACCAATTGAAACTGAGAGAAATATGGGTTATTACCATATTTCCTTGATCCTATTTTATGAATAAAACATTTAATTGTACAGAATAACAGCAAGCAAATATCCAGTCGTATAAACATGAGTGCCTGCACACCCTGTCCTAATGTCATAAAACATTAAAGTGGGAATCTGCGAGTGTATCGTTACATCTTGCACCTGCCTGCGCAGCAGTGTAGACAGCAAGGCACATCAATTTGGTAATAAGTGTATATGGTGAGATATGTGGGTCTGCCCTTCAGCCTCGTCCAGCATGCCCCTAGGGTTTAATAAAACTTTACTGAGCTGAATAATGAATTTATTTAAAATCATTCTTCATACAGAAAACCTCCATCTCCACAGCTTCAAGCACTGAGAGAAAATACCATATCTATGCGAACAGCTAGCTACCCTAAGGTAAGGAAAGACAGCTAAAGATGAGATTTACATGACAAGAGTCTTCTCTGCGTAACAGCTTCATATGAGAGAAAGAGAAGAACAACCACACACACACACAGCAGAGAAAACTGAAGGTCAGGCTTAATCTAGAGAACGTAATTGGAAAGCAAGGTACATAATGGCCATCATCACCTCAGTCTGAATTAATGAACCTCAATTACTATCTGAGAGTGAGGGAGGGTCGGAGGGGAGGAAGATGGTGGGGGTGAGGAGGGGTAAGGGGTATACAATACGAGGAAGGGAGAGCATGGAGAGAGGGAGAAGGTATGGGGCAATGAACAAAAAAAAATGGGTTTGGAGAGAGAGAGAGAGAGAGAGAGAGAGAGAGAGAGAGAGAGAGAGAGAGAGAGAGAGAGAGAGAGAGAGAGAGAGAGAGAGAGAGTAAGGGAGCGGTAACCCGCAAGAAATTGAGAGAATGCTTGGGAGAGACAGAAAGGGAGGGGCAGGGACAGGGACAGGGATTGCTGAATAGGAATGATAGGAGTAGGTGAAGGGGGGAGGGAGGGACAGCAGAGGGGAGAAGGGTGAAAAGCAGTCAGTCAAGTGGAGGCGAAGAGCACAAGAGACAAAGGCCACTTAGCATACAGGCCAGGAGATGGAGGATGGTGATGTGGATAGATGACCAGTCTTTGTTAGTTGGAGAGACACAGTAAAAAGCATTGGGGCCCCTTTTTAGCTTGACTGCACTTCTGGTAATATAGGGCTACTTGAACATGCATTATAGAAAGACTGGCTTTTCCCTCACTCACTCAGTCAAAACCTTCTCTCTTCCACTCTAACACATGTGCATACACATACACGCAGAATTCACGGCTGCATCAAAGATGATAGCGGGGAGCTACTTAAACATGCATTAAAAAAAAAAGCGGTGCCTTTCTCTCTTTCTCTGGTGCCTTCTTAATGGAATTGTCTCCCTACATTTTACTCTCCCCCATCCCCCATTGCTTTCTCATGTTCTTTTGCTTCCTGACAAAACACACTTGCATACACTTACTGTGCTGATGAGCTTGTCTACACAGTCCTGTGCCACATTGTGCACGTGCGTGAGATGCTGCCGAAGGTGTGTGTGTTGGAGTTTAACCTGGCACAAAGGGCACTGGACAGTCTTATAGAGAGAAGTGGGGGGGGGGGGTGGAAAAAGGGTTAAAAAACAGTTGAATTAGAAGGCTGGAAGAGAGCCTGTGTGTGCGCATGGGTTTGTGGGATTACACGGTGTCCGTTTATGCTTTACATTAACGAGGACATGCTTAAATCGTTCAAATGTTTGTCAACTGCTCACCTGCTGGTTTGGATTTTGCTGGTGTATTCTGGGACGTTTGGTTGAGATGGAGTTTTCCATTTCCTCACATTCAGAGGATGGACGCTTGGCTGATGGAAACGACTCCCTCTTTTCGCTTTCCTCCTCCCTAGTCGGTTCTTTAAGTAAAAAATCATATGAAAATGTAAATGAATGGATATTTACCATGGGAGTAATATGTTATCACGCCACCATTTTTGACCAAACTATGAATTAACATGCCTGTCTCTTTAGAAATCTGCTTTGTCCCCAAGTTACAAGTGTCTTTGGTTGTGTCCAAAGGACCAGCGGAGGTCTCACTGGAAGTTTCAATATCCTCACTGAGCTCTACTAGGAAGGGGACGTGAATAATAGTTATGTTACACAAACATCGTGCGTCATACAATTATGTGTACAATATGTTCCAAGAAAATGTTAATTGCACTAATTGTAGTTTATATAATCCCACTAGATCAGTGTTTTTCAACCTTTTTTGCGTCAAGGTACACTTAAGACACAGAAAAAATCTCCCGGCACACCAACGCGTGTTCTCTTTGTTGTGTTTTATTAAACGTAACATCATCCTAATGCCAAGATGGCACAGGCTTTATGCCCAGGTACCTCTTAAGCCTAGTTTATGCTTCTGCGTTTTCAGAGCGACGCAGACGCAAGACCCCCTTGCGTGTCCCTTGCGTGTCCCTTGCGTGTCCCTTGCGTCGCTTTTCACACCTCCTTGCGTCCTTGCGTGTGTCGAGACATTTTTCTGCAACGCGAGCATCCCGCAGCGCACCAGGCTGCGATTGGTCCGCTAACTACGTCCTTTACGGAGTCTCGCATTTCCGCTTTCATAGCCCGATACCACCATTATTAAACTGAAGAATCTTTACGAGAGAACGGATCAGATTTAAGAACTTCTGTCGGAAGAAATGCGTAAATATGAGCCCTTATACAAGCGGTCATTGGCGGGTTGTAGAAGCGGGTTGGATTCGCGGAGGGAGATCGCCGCAAACGCCGGTTTGCCGGTCGAGTGGAGGAAAATACGGGACAAATGTGTCCGCGATGAAAAGCAGCAGTGTGGATGCACGGGGCAATAAAGTCTATGATAAATAAACAAATAAATAAATAAATAGACGTGACTCTCTAGGTCGTCTTCAACAAAACACGTCACTCCGCCTGTTGTTCTGGAGGTGAATCGCTCTGCAACACACGCAGAACCATGAATTGAAACGAGTGCGTCGACGCAGCGACGCAGACGCAGAAGCACGCGCCAGCCTTAAATCTCACTTTTTTAAATTGTCGCCTCAGCAAATCTGCCTATTAATTACGCTGCGTAGCGCCACCCACAGGCAGAGGGGAGTATTGAGCCTTCACACCACCAACAGCGCGACGACACACACACACACACACACACACACACACACACACACACACACACACACAAGTTGGCTCTTTTTTTTTCACCAATGAAGTGACAGTATGTAAATTATTTTTTTTCACGGCACACCTGACAGCCTCTCGCGGCACACTGGTTGAAAAACACTGCTCTAGGTAGTAGTTTTTAGACCTCACTCTATTCATTTGCTTCCGTACGCTATTGATCAATTATTGATTCTCCATTAGATTCTCCTCGTAGGTGAGGTGGAGGTAATATGGACTTACAACTCATCAGTTCACCTGGATAAGTCTAAATCTTCACATAAACAAATCACAGGATTCACTTAATTTACAACTGAAGTGTTGAACGACTAATTTTAGATTTCACACACTCCAGACAATGCAAATTGAGGATTTTATCTAAAACAGATGTGTGAGCCTTTACTTCCCTTATCCAAGGAATTAGTATTGTTCCATTGATTAGCAGGTGCTAATAACCCCTGACAACGGCTAAGTTGTCAGGGGTTATTGGGGGTATAACAAGGATGTGTATCGACAAATCAATTTACTTGATCAATATCTCAGCAACGGACATGACTTATTTTCTCCCTCTTTTCATCTCAATCCCCTCCGCTCAATGACGCCAGATATTACAAGCAACATAAAGCCAAATACAGCCTCATAGTTCATAGTCTCACCTGTGACACCGTCAGGGCTTTTCCTGATGGTAAAAATGGCTGCCAACTCCTCTCCACCCATTGGCTCCAGCTGTAGCAGCCCTTCCCTCTGCTGATGGGTTGGGGTTTGACTGTGTTTCAGTACTTGTAGTTTAGAAGAGGATGAGTGGTTGCATAAGAGACAATGGAACAGCCATGATCCCCCATCAACCTCCCCGTCATACTGCTGCAGGAACTGAAAATAATGAGGCAGAAAGGAGAAAATTAAGATATTACGGTTGATAGTTCAAGCTGAATACATTTATGATTGGACTGTTGCTTGCATGCCATAAGATGAATGTGTTATCAATGACATTACTCACTTGGTAAACCCGGGCGCTGGCTTTGTGGTGTGAACTGAGGGAATGTCCTCGCAGCTTATCCAAACTGCCGGTCACGTAGTCGCACAGGTTGCACCACACCTGGATGGGGTTGCCCTTGGCAATAAGGGCCGCCCCCTCCTCGCCCCTATCCCCGCCCTCCTGGAGGTGAGCGGCGAGCTGGTAGCGGGTGCGGTGTCTGTCCGTCTGGCAGTGTAAGGAGAAGTTAGCCCTCAGCTGGGTGGTGTAGCCGCACAGCCTGCAGTGGCAGCCGCCAGCGACCAGGGAGCACCACTCAGGCTGGGGCAGAGATCGAGGGGCGTTCAGGTGCTGCTCCACGGACTCTAAGCTGTCAGACGAAAAGCAGGAGCAGACAAGGCATTGAAATACGCCCCCCTGGGAGAGGGGTTCAGTGGGGGACAGAGTCGGGGCTGGAGGAGGTGAGGGGGAGGGGGAGGGAGAAGGAGTAAGCGTAGACCCAAGGGTGACTGGTTGATCTGCGACTTGCTGACTGGTCAGTCGCATATTCAAGGAGAGCTCTGCACCTATAAAAAGAGAGGGATCCACCGTGACAATTACCAATTCAAATTTCTTTTGCCGTGTTTTTTTTGTTGTTTTTGTTGTTTTTTTGCTGAAGGACTGTGGCGAGGGATGCGTCACTCACCTGCGCTCTGTAAGTGTTTCAGCTGAGGGGCGAGACTCCTACAGTGCGACAGGTAGTAACCTCTCTGGAGCCGCAGCATGTTGTGGGTGTGTTTCTCGCTGGTGGTGTGTATGCGCAGGTTGCGGGCGATGCTGGTCTCATAGTCGCACACGTCACACCGCCACCGCTTACTATGAGAGTGAGTGTGCGCCGGTGGTGTGAGCTTGGCGGGCAGGGTGGTGGCCGTGGGTGTAGAGAGCGGGGGCTTGTACGTGGGCTCATCCGCCGCGTTACCGTTGGAGAAGCTGCTGCTGCTGCTGTTGTTGTTGCCGGTAATGTGGGAAGTGTGCACGCTACCATTCGAGTGTCCTCCGTTTTGGACGTTATTAAGGTGTTTATCCGACTGCATGTGTATGCTGAGGTTGCCTTTCGATGAGGTAGCATAGTCACACACCTCACAGCGGTAGGGCTTGTAGCCACAGGCATAGGTCTCGCCACGGGCCAAGCGAGGATGGGGTTTTCCCGAACTGCAATATGCACACACACCTCGCGTTGCAGCGCCACACACACACTTTACCCCGGAGGCCGCACACACACACTGGCCTCCCGTCTCTGGGTGTTTCTCCTTCATGTGGACTTGCAGAGTATGTTGGGACTTATAGTGCCAGTTACAGTTGGGGCATTTCAGCGTCTTGCAGGAGTTGCGGGAGTGCATTATGGTCATGTGACTGGTCAGGGAATTAGGAGAGAGGTCTTGGTTGAGGTTTTTAAGGACAGCTTCTTTCTGTTCTTCTTCTTTGTCTCTCTCGTCATCCACCTCTGTGTCTAGCTGGCTGTCATTTGGTTCTGGAGCTTTGGCACCATCTCCATTGGAAATGGGAGAGTGAGAAACCCCCGCTGGCCCATTATCCTCAGTAGCTGCACTGGCAGGCTCCATACCTGCCAGTTGAAACGCCAGGGTAGACTGCTGGGTTTTAAAGCTCTGGGGAAACTCAGAAATCCAGCCCTGATCTCCCTTAATGTCTTTTACCTCTGTCTCGCTCAGCAGGGCTGAAAAGGAGGACGGACAAGTGAAGTGCTTTGGAGAGTTGGAAAGAAGAGGGGAGGACTTTGGAGAGGTGGAAGTAATGGGGGAGGGCTTTGGAGAGGCGGCAATTTTGCTGTTGAGTGTGCCACTGGCCTTTGCAGTGCTGGAAGAAGAGCTGTGCTGGCTCTGTTGAGGTAATAAAGAACATTTGGATTTGGTTAGGCTTTGGTTTGAGATGGCCTCTTCCTCTTCCTTCGCCGCCGCCTCCTCCTCCTCCTCCTCGTCATCCTCCTCCTCCTCCTCGTCATCCTCCTCCTCCTCCTCCTCCTCTCCTTTGCTGCTAAGGGCTGCTGAGAGGCCCCTTGTAACTGACGCCCCTACTACACCTACAAGCACCTCCCCTTCTTCCTTCCCTTGCGCTGACAAATATGCCTCCCCGAAGTCTTCCTTCATGCCCTGCTTTTGACACGCTCCATTCTCCTTTGAATGTCGGCCTCCTTCTTTCTGCTCACCTCCCCGGGTCTCTTCTCTAGCCTCGGACCCCTCTGCTTCCTCATCCCCCTGCTGTGGCAGGGTCAGGGGCTCTTTGGCAGGGGCCATGGCTGAGGTATGAGAAGATGACCCCTGCTCGGTACTGACCGCTGGGGTCAGGAGAGGAAGAGATAAAGCCCGGGGACTGAGGTCAGCATCTCTCTCCTCTCCTCCCCCTCCGTCCCCTCCTCCTCCTCCCTCACCGCTGTCCATACCAGAGGCTACAGCTGCCAAGCATTACTCCCCCACCTGTGTTTCAGATACAGGGAAAGAGAGGAGGAGAGCACAAAACAGACAGAGAGACGGGAGAAGAGTGAAGGGACGAGAGAGAAAAGGAAATAAATCAGTTATGTAAATAATATTGCATAACAGTGGAGGACATTGATTACAGTCCCTAGATAGCATCCGTTCAATATGGCCTTCACAGTGCGCAATACAGAGGCTGGTTACTCAGGGGTTAGCGTTAGCCCTTAATGGGAAAATCAATAGCGTGAGCGCTAAACTAGGTAGAGGAATGCGGGTGAAGGCTACGCAGGAGGTCTATAATATTTCTCAGGGGACGGGATTAAATAAAGAACGGAATGCTTCTGAGCTGAAGGGCTTCCACTAAATTGCCAATTTGATACACTGGGTTTGAAAACTGTTCTTTTATCTGCTTCTTCTATCTATCGCCGTGCGTTGGCGCAGACATATTAGGAGGGGAAACTGAAGCATTGTTTAGCACGAGCCATTTTATTACACGCAGTGCAAACATGGGGTGGTGACGATACAATAAGCACTTGTGTAATCTAGTTTAGTCCAAATGCAACAAATACTTTTATGTGGCTTACAAAATGCTTGTTAAAATTTTAGAAGGGTTTTGATGAAAATCTGAGATATTTTTTAGGCAATAGTTAGTGTTGCTGCAGTGCTGTGTATTATTTATCTCCTCTTCTCCTTGTGTAGAAGATTGTATACGCAAAGTCCCACAGCTTGCACACTACGAACACACCCATACACATGAACAATGAAGCAATGGTGAACATAAAAATGAATCCCTTCCCCCTTAATTCAAACATTATACATAATGCAATTATAGTCAATAATGATGTTTCAAAGACAAATCATTTTAAAGCAATGTTTAAATGAATGTAAGACTGCACATTTCTTGTTTTTTGTTAAATAATCTGGTGTTAATGAAACTAACAAAGAGCTGTGTATTGCATGTATATTGTCATACATGAATTAGCATACACATTGCTGTCAATAATTAAAAATTCATAAAATTTTCAAGGATATTTAAAAAAAAATCTTCAAAATAATCAATCATACATCAAGACAGTGACTCCCTGAAAAAATAAATCAAGCCCCTCCTCCTTGTGTGTTTTGTAACTGACGGATGAACACCAGATGAGACAGATACAGCTCTCTTACACTGTGCGTGTCCCACAATCTCATTACTGACCTTTTTAAATCAAGAAGAGACCTTAATGTACCCTTTCACCTTTCTACTTCAACAAACCATCCCCCTCCTGCTGCTGCTGCTGCTGTTTGAACACCGTCTCTCTCCTGCAGCCACCGCCTCTCCCCTCTCTGCACCTTAAAAGATATATGGCTCATATCGGCACTCTGATGCTTTAATGTACTGTGTTTATGTCACAGGCCACAGACCCTTGCCCACTGCAGCTGTCCACTGTTCTGCTGGATAGTGCTGAGAGGCTGAGCCTGACTGCCAGCAGCTGAGAGGAGTCTCTAATCTGATAAAGATTTTCATTTACACTGCAATCAATAAACCGGGTCTATCGGCAATGTAACTATTTATATAAACATTCCTGGCTCTCTATCGATCACAAGTGCGGGAAACCATCATTTAACAACGTGGGTGTGTGTAGGCTGAAACTATGTGTGTGTTAATGTGAGTAAATCCTGTTGTCTACAGCATACTGATCCTGATAATGTCAATTAAACACAGGCATCCGAACGCCTGAAATGTGACCTTTAATTACTGTACATATTAATACACATACATGCTTATTATTGGGTATGAATACAATAGAATTTGCAATAAATATTTCTGATAAGAAATGTGTCCCCGAATATTTATCTCAGGCTTGTGTGTGTGTGTGTGTGCGTGTTTTGTGTGCGCGTGTGTGTGCGTGTTAACAACGGAGAGAGAGGGGTGTGAGGGGGGTTGAGAGAAAGACCGTGAGAGTAGAGTTGTGTTGTGCTAAACTTTTAAGAAAACGCATTTTGTTTGTCTTCCCAGGACGGGGACACTATACGACCGGACGCGGACTAACACCGTTTTGAACGTTCCGAGCTTTTACGCGAGGACTCATTCTGCACGCACCCGTCCAAGGTAACAGCACCGAGCTGCATTCTGCACTATTCTGGCTGTTGGTGAGAATAGCGGACGGGCAGCGACTCGAAGTTCACTCCCCGTCTCGGTCACCGAGCCGCCGACCAGCACGCAGCCTCCGGACCACTTGCGCCTTTGTTTACAGTGCGATCGCACCGTCCGACACTCCCGGTTCAGCTGAAGCAAGAGTGATCGCGTCCGGTACTCAGTAACAGGTGACTCGATGCACAAGCAGATAAAACTAAAGCTCCATTTGTGCGATTTTACGCGATTGCACAGTGCAAAAACACCCAGTTTTCCTCAGCGCCGCCTGGGGTCGCTTCCCCACGTCCCTTTTTAACGTCGTAAACAAACGGCAGACTTACATTTATGCAGCGGCTCTGGTACAAAGCTCCGTACGCCGAATGGGTAGTAGTCCAGAAAACAATCGCGCAGAGAGACTTCTCTCTGCGCGATTCCTTGTGAAGGATCCTCAGCGTTTTTACGGAGCTAGGAGGAAGGGGGAAAAAACGGGGTGAGGGAGAGAGAGCAGCGGGGTCCAAGTTGTTACCAGACAACAGTGTAATTAAAGCTACATGTAGGCTGTGGTGAACAGACGACAGGGGACGGAGGGGTTTGTGCGAGCTGCAGAGGTAGAATGAGTTCTGATCACTGTGGGGGGGAAACACTTGGCTCTTTATTCCTGCTAATTAGTTTCCTTCAAAAAATGGCTGAGATTGCGCCTAGTGCGCATGTGCGTAATTGCGCAGACACCGCTAATTAGCCCGTTTGGATCAATAGGATTCCGCGAGAGACAGAGAGAGGGAGGGAGGGAGAGAGGGGGAGAGGCTACAGGGGACGCATAGAGAGGACGCGGTGAAGATACACGTTAAAAAAAAAAGTACGACAAAATTCAGATGAAAGGTTTTTTTTTATCGCAAACCGAATGCTGTCGCTGAAAGATTCTACTTTAGATGGATGTTAAGACAAATCCCAGCGGATGTAAAATAAATATATATGCATATATTAGAGAGAATACAATATTGGAAAAAATAATCTCTAAATACAAAAATAATCTGAAATATGATAAAATACCAACATCAATGTCAAAATTTACCAAAAGAAAGACACAATGGAATTTTATAGGAACACTACGACGCCAGGAAATCTCACACAAAACGCCTCAGAATCACCGCGACTCACTATTGAGAACAAAAAAGCACATTCCAGGGCCTTTGAGGATTGTTTTAGCAATATTATACAGCCGTTCTCTTCGTGTTAATTCATACATTTAACCCTCAAATATGAGCATCGAGTCTTAGACATAAATTGCATTGTTTCCATGAAAGGTTTACATTGGTGTTAGATCGCCCACCTGCTTTGGACAAGTTGTGGGATGTAATTGCAACCTTTCTGGCAGGCACATATTCCCATTTAATTAACAAACAAGTCAAAATAAGAATGTTTATAACAACAATGGAAGAGGTATCGTCTATGCTTGAATATGAAATGAGAAATTGCACTCTTGACTGTATTTCGACGGAGGTTGCAGGTGCGTTGCGGACATTGGTTTGCACTAATTTTCTCCATTTGGATAAGGTTACAATACTTAAGCCTCAATGTGTGATGTGTCCACCTCTGTGTTTATCATCACATAAGACCTTTGGGGTTTTCTCCCTGCTCCGGCCGTCCCTTCCTCTCCACTCGGTCCCATTGTTATGATAATACTATTGTGAATTTCTCACTGGATGGGCAATCTGTCGATCGTCCATTTTCAAAGAAGGTGAAAACTGCATTTATTTGTAAAAATAGAATATTACATTTCATACTTACTTAGGTGTCGATTGTCCGATCTGACCTCGCCCTTATTTCAGACTTGGATAAATATACATTTAGAAAGGTGTGAAAGGCTATGATGAAACAGAGAAAGTCGCAATGGGTAAAAAGGGGAATATCATTGTACTACTAAAAAAAAAGGGCTGTAGCATCAACTGCAGTCAGGTTACTATCAGCTCGCTGTTGCGTGAAACTACCTCACTGCAAGGCCGTATCAGAATAGTACATGAATATTAATGCTATTTCGATGTGTTGGTTTTGCAAGGACTGGTATTTGGATTTTTGTTTGTGTTGTTAGGTGGGATTATCGTCTTGCATTTGTACAACTATATATATATGTGAATATTCTTGAAAATGAGTGGTGATATTTTAATATTTTATATATTTTATATTTTTAGTGTGTGTGTGTGTGTGTGTGTGTGTGTGTGTGTGTGTGTGTGTGTGTGTGTATATATATATATATATGTTAGTGTGTGAGAGAGACAGCAAGAAGTGATTGATAGTTAGGGTGTGTCTGTGCGTGTATGGGTTAAAATGTTAAAATGATTATTGAAGTTAAAATGCAGATCTGTTGTTATTCTTCATCCTCATTTGCATCATTTTCTAATACTATTATGTATTCATACGATACTAAATGTTTGCTTCTTTGAATAACCTAAGCAGAAATGCAATATTAGGGAACAATTTGCTTTGATTTAAGACCAATTATGTAGCATCTTTGAAATTCATCATAGACAAAGGATTTCACATTTTACTCTACAGTGATCGGAAGAGATAATACAAAACTTTCAATTGATCCCTCATATTATTTGCATTGCTGACCCTTGATGTAAATATCCATTTGATTAAATTGCATATTTTCTTGCACTATTTAAAACAATCAAACGGGCATAACATACACACTCATATAAGCTCTACTTTGATATGCAAAGAATACAAAAACACACATTCTTCTCTAAAGTGGTCCTCACATAAATGGTTATTATGGTTATGGTTATTAAGTCCAGCACAGAATATGTGAGACACTCTCCCTGAGCAACACTTTGAGTCAATTTCTGTTGTGCTAAATAGAGAAATGTAATATTCTACTGATATCAAAGCTCTCATCCGAATGTACATTTACAATTTATGAAGACACACTCTCCTTTTCAAACACACTTAAACATGCACAGGCGGTACCATGCCCTCACCATGCCCTCAGGTTTATGCCAAGGGGTTGTTGTTTTCACTGTAATATATAGTTAGCCCTACCGCCAATTTACCCTGTCAGTGTTAATGGGGCAATTAACCACCATGATACCCCCCAGGCAGAAGGAGACCCAAAAGCTCCCAAACTCGTCTTTATGACATTTATATGACAATATGTGGGGAAGCTGGGGAGCCATCGGACACCTTGGAGGGTCCTTAATGTCACTCCCTCTCTTGCCCCCTCCCCTTTCTGCCCTGGAGTACGGCACTGAGCAGGAAGTGTAATACATCATGTACGGGAGAGGCCTCGTCCAGCAGGGATTCAACTTTGTTTTCCAAAGCTTCAGTGGGGCCATTCTGATTTACACACCGTGTCCACTTCTGCGCGCTTCTGGATGTAAACCGACTTCCACAGAAAGCCACACAAACACAAACACACTTCCAGCTAACACACTCAGACTTGTCCTCTCCCTTCATTCATGTCATTCATGTCCCCCTATCTTTGTCTCTGCTCACATTCCCCCCGTCCTTCTTACACCCCTAAGGAGGCAATAACCTCCCTAGCCTTGAGCCGTTGTCATAGTAACTTGCGGACTGGTCGACATGACAACCCATCGTGGTCCAGAGATAAATGATAGGCCAGAAATGGAGAGGGACATTACATTACATTACATTACAGGTCATTTAGCAGACGCTTTTATCCAAAGCGACTTACATTACACTTTAACCATTTACCCATGGTGGCTTTTTCACATTTTTGCCCAGGGAGCAATTAGGGGTTCGGTGTCTTGCTCAGGAACACTTCGACATGGAACATGGGGCAGCCTGGACTCGAACCACCAACCTTGTGCTTCCCAGCACACCTTCTCTAACCCCTGCGCCACGACGACCCATGGAGAAGGCATGGGGGGATTTGCACCCCCTTTAATTTGTTTCGGCGGATTCTGATTCAAAATATATGTTTTCTCCCCCATTCAACATCAACCTGCTTTACATTTAAACAGGTATTTACAGAAAACGTCGGCCTCCGAGCATCTCCGCGCGATTGGCCTTGCTCTACGGCGCACAGATGGACATTGTGAAAAATTTCAATTCTAAAAATGTTTTAATGATAGTGCTATTTTCCTTTCCTCTATCCTTACAACGGATGTCAACAACGGTATTTTTTCTTTCCAAGCAAACAAATAGAAATGATGGGTGCAGAATACCTGTACGTTTTTACACTGATCTTTTGGAGTGTTCAACCCAGATTCTTCATTCACGGTTACCACCCAATTCATTCGGAGCGAATGCAGATGTATGAAATACCCGCAGCATAAGGATATCTACTTATTAGCCGCTGTCTTTCTGGACTCCATTTCCGGATACCGAGGACAGTAATGTGACCGACCCAGCACCACTTTATTGACAATGTCATCCCACGGCTCGAACGTCCCCTCTGAAAAAACAAATGCAGAGAATTTGCCTTGATATTTACTGAATGATACACATGTGTAAAAAGCACTAGCGTGGTGTATAGCTGACTTGCAACCGTTTTCACAAATTTATTCCATCATCCATTTTTCACAACGATCCTGTTTTTTATCATTGGAGCGGTCTTTCAAGAAGAGCATTCGGTGAGAAAAAACACAGTCCTGAGCGGGATGATAAATCGATAACAGCCACGGTGGTTTTGCGCCTCAGCTTTCGCCAATGTCTGACCCCTCTGTAGCAAACTTGGAAGAAATATGTCCTTTGAGGATCAATATGGACTGTTATTAATCAGGACTGTAGATACATTATTTTTCAATAAATCAAAGGTTTTTGCACTTATTACATATCCTTAACAAAAAAATACCAAACTAATACCAAATACAAATAACAAATACCAAATACCAAACTAAACATATAGTTATATTATACATTATATCCACACGCACGAGACAAAATTACAACTGAAACAAGACAACTGCATGATAAATGTTACCCTGTCATCCTAGAGGCTTCGTTGTTCTATTGGCAAATCATTTCATGCATTAAATAAACATTGTTCCCCAGAAATTTAATATAATATTAATTTGACTTTAATTAGATATATGCCGTTTGCTAAAATTCAGTAGCATAAACAAAGTACATACCGGAAAATGACTCACTCTTAAATAAATCTGATACTGTGACGTATGTATAAAAGGTATTTGACTTATACATTTTGTCTATATTATTTCAATTTGAGTTACTATTTGAGTTACTTTGTAATTTTCTCCTTAAATGTGTGTCTGTAATAGATTTGCACTCACACCAATTTCACTTACAATAATAACAGCCCTGGCAAACAAAGCTAAAAAACTCAGGTATGTTCACATCATCAAACAAAATGGTTTCGGTTTTGTGCAATTTTTTTTTTCCTCTATTCTTCACTTTGAATATGATTCAGTCATATTATAAAAGTGCTCCCGTTTCTTTTTTGTTAAGGATATGTTTGATGTGGGTGGTTGTTCTAATTTTTTGTTGAATCTGCCTTTGACGGATGAATTTCTCCTTACGGATCACTAAAGTGTATCATGTAATTTCATCTCGTCTCATCACCTCTGCTATGGCCTCCTGCAAGAGAACATTAATAACCTCAATGTTAGATGTGAATGAGTCTGCCTACAGATAGCCAATATTTAGATTCAATCAAATTTGACCCTAAGTTGGATGAACCGACAGACATGGAGATAGAAA